ACGGAAGGTTACTTGTGGGGATAGAGGTTAACTTTATAATGTTTTGTTTCTTGTAAAACAAAAAGACTGGAAGTAAATCAAATGGCATGTAAATGTGTTGAATTTGGGGGCTGTGAGGGGCAGAGGGAGAGGGGCAGAGGGACAAGGAGAGAGAATCTGTAGTGGACTGGGTGCTGAGCACAGAGCTCAACATGGGGCTTGATCTCACAACCCTGAGATCAGTGACCTGAGCTGAAACCAAGAGTCAGACGCTCAACTGACTATGCCACCCAGGTGCCCAATCAGTAAACATTTTAATTTTAAAAACAAAGAAGGAATTAAGGGGGAAAGAAGATGAGTGATACAGATATAAAGAGAAAGGTGAAAAATATTTGGGGTTAACATATGTGTGACTTAACACTCAGGCTACCTGAGACTTTCAGCTAGGCTCTGTTACACTGAAACAGAATTTTTTATACAGTGAGAAGACAAAGGTGTGAAAGAGCTCTCTTCAACCCATCAGATGCAAAGAACGCTGTAGAGTTTCATTGGTTATTGTGGTAATGTTTCCCGATGCCCAACAAATATTAACCTTTGGGATTCAGGATCAAAAACAAAAAAGAAATTCCTAAAATTGTGTTGTTTTGTATTTTTCATAACACTTTATTTTTATGTTTTTTAAATATAATGAGTAACCATTATAATGAACAATGAATCATTTTCCTGCATAGGGTGATACTAAAAGTTCCAGAGCTTTCTTTCTGTTTAAAAAAAGATAATAATAAAAGCATGATTTATTATTATTATGAACCAATATATTGGACAAGATTGTATATTTCGTTACATGCAACAATGTTCACTATCACAGACATTTCATAAAATAAAATAAATTCTAAATAAAAATCATTTTTAAAATAAAAAAATTTAATACTTAAAAAGTTATTCTTCAAGTGATAATTTAAAACACGTAAGACACTAATTGTCTTATTCAATGGATTTGATCTTTGTTTTGTGACAAATATTCCAGATAAGGAAAAATTCCTCTTATTTGTGTTTGATACTGGTTTAGCTGTTAGAAGCACTTCCAAAACATTACCAGATCAGGCATTAGGGCATATACAAGTTCATTTACTTTATTAGCAATAAAAATATTTTGTCTGTTCTATAAAGAACTATATCTTTTAGTAAATAGTCAAACACTGGAAATTGCAGCAAGTATGATTAGATAATAGTCAAATAATGTAACATTTGGATCTCCTAGCAAGATCAGCAGTCTTAAATAGAAATATGTTGACACTGCCAAGTTAGGGAGTTATTTTTCCTTGCAAAACGTTATTTCTTGAAATACCATGCCATGTATTCTATGTATATAAGCATAGTCATGTTTTTTTTTTTTAATTTCTTTTCAGCTTAACAATATTCATTGTTTTTGCACCACACCCAGTGCTCCATGCAATCGCGCCCTTTCTAATACCCACCACCTGGTTCCCCCAACCTCCCACCCCCCACCCCTTCAAAATCCTCAGATTGTTTTTCAGAGTTCATAGTCTCTCATGGTTCACCTCCCCTTCCAATTTCCCTCAACTTCCTTCTCCTCTCCATCTCCCCTTGTCCTCCATGCTATTTGTTATGCTCCACAAATAAGTGAAACCATATGATAATTGACTCTCTCTGCTTGACTCAAGCAGTTAAGCATAGTCATGTTAATTTTATTTGCAAGAAGTACTCACCAGGCAAGGCCATGAGCACACCCTTATAATATGACAACAATAACAAGCAAGATTGATTAGCTCCTAACTGGTGCTTTCTGATGTGCTCCTGTCATGCTTTCCAGAAATGTTGACCTTAATCTTTGACTCTGCCTGTCAGCATTTCCTGTCTTCCTTTTGACTTGATGTCAGTATATTCTTTTGAACCAATATTATTATGTTGAATGTTAAGGTTTAATTTTGCCCTCTACATTTGTTTGACATCTTTGTCAAAAATCAATTGACTGTACACAGAGATAAAAAATAAAAAGTACAGCATTGGGAAAATAGTCAATAATTTTGTAATAACATTGTATGCTGACAGATGGTGACTACACTTACCATGGTGAGTACTAAGTAAGATATAGAATTGTGGAATCATTAGGTTGTACACCTGAAACTAACATAACATTGTGTGTCAACTACATCTCAATAATAAAAAGGGAAACGTAACAAAATACCAAATAAGGGAAAAATTTATTTCATATTAAAAAAGCAAAAGAGAAGAAAGAAAATAAATAAATTGACCATATGTATGTGTGGATCTATTTCTGGATTCTCTAGTCTGTTCCATTGTTTATATATATTTTATGTCTCTTTTCATGAATACCAAACTGTCTTCCTTATATACGTTTTATAATAAGTCTTGAAATCAAGTAAGATAAATTCTCCAATTTTGTTTTTATTTTTAAAAATTATTTTGGGGTATCAGGGTGGTTTAGTTGGTTAAGTGCCTGCCTTAGGCTCTGGTCATGATCTCAGGGTCCTAGGATCCAGCCCCCGCATCACACTGGTCTCCTTGCTCAGTGGGAAACCTGCCTCTCCCTCTCTCTCTGCCATCACTCCCCCATTTGTGCTTTCTAGCTCTCTGTCAAATAAATAAATAAAATCTTTAAAAAAAATAAAAATAAAAATTGCTTCGTTTATTCTTGGCTCTTTGCATTCACATATTAATTTTATTTATTTATTTGAGAGAGAGAGAGAGAATGAGAGCAGGAGTGTATGTGGGGGAGCAGATGCAAAGGAAGAAGCAGGCTCCCCACTGAGCAGGGAGCTTGATGTGGGGCTGGATCTCAATCCCTCTAGGCCCTGGGATCATGACCTGAGACCAAGGCAGCCCCTTAACTGACTGAGCCACCCAGGCGCCCATACATATTAATTTAAGAAACATATTGTTAATTTTTGCAAAAGAGTTTTCTGGAATTTTGATTGAGCTTGGGTTGAAAATATAAATGATTTTGATGAGAGTTGATATATTACTAGTGTTGAGCTTTGCAATCTATGAACACGGTTGATCTTCTCATTAATTTAGATCTTCCAAAAATAAAAAAGATCAATATTTACAAGCAGGTAAAATATGCCAGGCACAGTAGTGGGTGCTTTACATGTATATTATTAAATAAAATTTGTCATTCTTTTCATTAGATTAAACACAGAAGGAAATATGGAGGGGAGAGGCTCAGTAATTCTGCACAGTCAGTAAGTGGAATTAAAGAGAATGTGAGCCGCATTTGTCAGATTCAATTTTTTGTTCAGTTTGCTTAACTTGGCTCCAGCAAGGGTTGACTGTGGGCCATCATTTATGCCTGTGAACCTCTCCAAAGTTCAGATTGTTCTTGAACAATCAAGCACTTCAAACTCCCACTGTTGTGAGAATCCTCACTGTTATGGTAAGGAAATAGTGTTAAATCACGTGGAGGCATACAGGCATTAGAGATTAAATTATATGTTCCAAATTACACTTAAGAATCAAGTGTGCCAATTGCATGCCTTTTAATATTTAGCATGTTCAAAGCACCTGGAATTCAGGTTTATGAACAACATAAAATTCCTGTACCCCATTGCAAGAAAATCTATTTCTATTTATAAATTATCCAAGTAAACTGGTTTAGGAATTTAAAAAGGTCTTATAAAACATCTGACAGCGGGGCACCTGGGTGGTTCAGTGGGTTAAAGCTTCTGCCTTTGGCTTGGGTCATGATCCCAGGACCCTGCGATCGAGATAGAGCCCCACATCCGGCTCTCTGCTCCGCAGGGAGCCTGCTTCCTCCTTTCTCTCTGCCTGCTTCACTGCCTACTTTTGATCTCTGTCTGTCAAATAAATAAAATCTTAAAAAAAAAAAAAGATCTGACAGCTTTGATATAATTTGGGGGAATTACCTGTTATGGATATTCGGTGACATTTACAAACTTACATGTGGCCGCCCAATAATTAAAAAAAAGCAATTAAAACAAACCTGAAGTGGTTGTAATTAAAATTAATCAAAGTTCCTGATCTATTCCTGATAAGAAGTAATCTTATGTTTAATTTTTAAGCAGAATTTATGGCGGAAAAGTTATAATTGAAGATCTACTCTTAAGGAAAAGAAGAGTGGATGACAGTCGATTAAGATTGTAAGGCAGACCTTGTTTAGGACCTTCAAGACAGTTATAGGAACCCCTGCAATGGGAGTTTACAGTGGGGGAGAGAGATGAGGCTCAACTCCTCAATACAGCATGGATAAGTGGAAATTGATAGCCCAGGAGCAGGGCAGGGGTCAGTGAATGGAAAATTACTGAGAGGAAAATGACAAGGTTGTTTCGGCTAAACCCACCTAACAGGATTCTTGCTGAAAGCAGCCCAGGGTGATCAAACTTCGCCGCGGCCGGGGGGTGGGGGGTCGTGGAGGATGAGGAACCTAATGACATATTGAGGGGGATCAGATATTGAGGGGTGTATGTGGGGCTAGTGTTTTGGTCAAACTGACTTAACAGGATTCTTGCTAAAACTGGATTTTACAAGGAAATGCAGAGATGAGCCTAGGAGGTTTAGTGGCTTGGCTAATGTTTGGTCAAGTAAAGAGAATCTTTGTCACTACCTCAAGTATAGGCAGTCACATTTCTCCTAAGGCTTTCCAGGGCTTTCTGTCCCGGCACCTGGTCCAGAGGATTTCTGCAAAGCCTGAAGGCCTGGAGGGCGCGCAGGACTCAGGCTTGCAAAGTCTACACTTGCTGACTTCCCCTGTACGCAGATACCAGAAGGACTGCTGCTTGAGAGGACTGCACACTCCCCCGAAGCCAGGCTCCTTCCAGGCTCCATCCTCGCGTCTATCCGCCCCCCGCCTGCCACAGGCTTGGGCCGGGAAGGGTGGCCCCTCGGCGGTCGGAAGCGCGTAGCCTAGCACTTGCACAGCACGGCGCTTCACCCCTGAGCACCGGAGAAACCCGAGTAGGGCTCTGCGGGTCGCCCATGCGAACAGGGAGGGGCGTGAAGGGGTGCCCGGAGACTCGGACAGCGCCGGCCTCTATCGCAGGCCTCCTTCGCTCCCACTGGCCGGCTGGAGTCTACCAGGAAGGGCGTGGAAAGGAGCGGGAGCAAAGGGGAAGCGGGTCACGAGTCAAAGCGGCCGAAGTGGGGAGGATGCCGCTGGCCGCAACTCGCGGCCGCGGGGATCTGGTTGGACCGGGTTGAGCCCAGTCTCAGAGACTTCTGGAGCTGGGGGCCAAGCTGCCGCGCCCCCTGCCGCTGAGAAGACCCGGCGCCCCTCACCCCCACCCCCCCGTCAGCCCCGCGGCCGCTGCCCGGGAGCCGCAGGTGAGTCGAGCCCGGCGCCGCCCGGAGCATCAGGTGTCTTGGGAGCGGCGCCCGCGGCGTGCAGGGAGGGAGGGCGATGTGTCGAGCCGTCGGAGACACAAAGCCGGAGGGTCAGGCCCGCGGACGTCGGGGCCATGGAAGGGACACAGGTGGGACTAGGGTGCGAGCTGCTGCGTTTCGGCACGGCGTCCGCTCCGCCGCCCGCACAAGGTCAGTGGCGGCTCGTGGCGGCCGGGGTACGGGCGGGGGCCCCCGGGGTGGGTCGGCGCTGCCGCCGGGGTCAGCCCGCACCTCTGCCGCGCAACCCCGCCCGGCCCGTCGCCCATCGGGAAGCCTGGGGCAGGGACCCCCGGAGCTGGAAGCCAACTGCGGCAGAGCCTCGCCCCGGAAGACCTGGGCGGGGGGGAGGCGGGGGGCGGCCGGGGACTCAGAGATGGCCCTGAAGTCGCGCAGCCAGCCTCTCTAGACTCGAGGGGTCTTTATTAGAGGCGTGGGGGTGGGGGGCGGATGGAAATGGGGGCGGCCTCCAGCCGGCCCGAGCCGTCGAAGTCGCTGGCGGCGCGGAGGCCGGGGAGGGGGCGCGCTGCGGCCGGCGGCGCTCTCGGAGAGCTTCCCCGCCTCCCGGCACCCGCGGCCGCGCTCCGGGCAGTCGGTCCCGAAGCCGGAGAAACGAGGAGGGAGGAGGGGAAGGAAAGACGGAAAGACGGAAAGGAGTCTGGTGTCTGGTGAAGTGAGAAAGCGCTTCCGAAGAAATTAGGTTGTGTTACTTTATCAACCATGAGGTTTTTCTATTTACACATATTCCCCGGTTTTCCCTAACTTTCTGCTGCTCGGTCCAATTAAGCCTCTCGTGGCCGTCAATAAATAACCTGTGTGTGTCAGTCTGTAGATCCTAAGAGCGCGCCTAACACCGTGGAGGGACTCTCCAGACCCGCATCTCCGCGTACCGCGCGTGGCACCCGGCTCCCGCCCTGTGTGAAGGGTGCTTGGCAGTCCTTCAGCCGCTAGGGGTCTGGACACTGTGCAGCTTTTTTTTTTTTTTTAACGTGCAGCCCCGGGAGGCCTGGGTGGCTCAGTCGGTTAAGCGCCTGCCTTCCTCTCAGGTCATGATCCCGGGATCCTGGAATCCAGTCCCCCATCTGGCTCCCTGCTCAGCTGGGGGCCTGCTTCTTCCTCCTCTGGCTGCCACTCCCCCTGCTTGTGCTTTCTCTCTCTCTCTCTCTCTCTCTCTCTCTGACAAATAAATAAATAAAATCTTTAAAATAAAATTAAAAAGTGCACTCCAGAAGGGCTTTTGTGACTTGGTAAAGCTAACACAGCAAGTGTAGTGGTCAGTCCTTGTGAATGAAATGCTTGCTTCGGAGACAACTTGATGCCATGTGCTGAATAAATTAATTGTGGCTGGCTCATTTTCTCTTTGTTCCTGTGCGTTACTGTTACAGGGCGTGTGTCTTGTCTGGGTAAAGTTTACTTTTCACTGTATGGAAATAGAAAGGGCTTGATGTGTCTTCAAATCTGTAATTCACCAACATGCTTTATTGTTACCAGCTTCATTGCTATTGCTGGTGTTCATGGGCCAGTTTTGATGAACATAAAATCACCTTCATTTTACATCCCACAGATAAGGACTCTTTAAATGCTGGTTTTTGAAGAAGGAAGTAAAATGTTCTTAAGTGAAAATCGTAAGGGATTAATAACTTTTTTCTTTCCCTTATGTCTTCACCTAAGAGTTTCTGTACTCATACTTTGACAGGCATTTTAAGACATTAGAACCATACCTGAATGAGTTCTATCATAATGATTTCATTTTGAAGATTCTACATATGCTATTTTTTATGCCATTGTAAATATGTTTCATGCTTTACTGACTCAGCACTATCCTTGTTAATCTTTTCAATATTGTAAAAACTTTCCCTGTAGCTAGTTTTATAGCCAGTATCAATTACTTGGAGATGCTGTGTTTGCTAAGAATGTTTGAATCAGAACTAAATGTGGGATTCTATGCTTGGAAAGCAGGGTGATACCTAAACAGTGACTTGTTAGATGTTTTACTATAGGTTGATTCTCCCCTATCGCCACCTTGACTTCTGAGTAGAAGTCACCGCAAAAAAATATCACGACAGAGCCAGCCTTTCTAATCTACCTGGACGCACCCCACTCTCCCAGGTGATTTGGGGTATTTTATTTTGAAAAGGTTTCCATAATATTAATTAATCTGAGTGAAAATCCAAGGTAATCCCCACTTCTGGAGTGACATCTTTGTCATTTTGGAAAAGTTGCTACAAAGATAATAAAACTAACCCCATCCTTTTCAAAGAGACAAAAGAAATAACAGATATGATATACTCTGAAAAGCAAAATGTACTACATAAATATAAGGCCTCCAATAAAAATCAAATACAAGTGATGTAGCTCATTGGGATTTGGGCTTATACTGAGCTTCTGTATTCTCCTTTGTTGAACAGTTAAGTTTCCTGAGCCTCCACCGACCCTTAAGAATCCTGTTGCCTGTTTAGGAAAGTCCCCTGGCTGCTGGGGCTGTAGGGAGAGTGAGGCTGCTTGCTCAGTGTTGGACCCTATGCCAGGGCTTGCTTTGCATTTTTATGTGATCAAAATTATATGAGGATAGGTATTGTTATTACCATTTTGCAGAAGAAAAGACAGGCTCAGAGAGGCTGAGTGACTTGCCTAGGGTTACAGAAGTGTCAAATTGTAGAACCAGGATTAGGGACCAAACACGGCCTTAGTCTCTTTACACTACACTTCACTACCTTTAACTCAGTGGTTTTAAACTTATTTTGATAAGCTGATGAAACTTTAAGTATCACTGCAGGAAAAATGGTCATATTTTCATGTATATAAGATTTTGCATATAATTCCAGGGTCCACCTACCCTCTAAAACCCTTGCATAAGCTTTCAGGTCACCCTGCTGTAATTATATCTGTTACCAAATGAGGCAGAAAGTGTATACATTACTGCATATATGTACATATAACCCTTTACTAATAGAAGCAGCCCAAGAATTCAGTAACCTTCAATTGGGTGAAAATTTCCTTAGTAACTGAAACAAAAAGAAACAGGACATGTCACATTCTACTTGATTCAAAAAGAAACATGACATGTCACATTCTACACCTGAAGTGCAGTTTAGAACAATGGTGCTTATTTGAAACCAGATCTTTTGTTTGGGCTTCCTCAACTCTCCGACTATCACAAAGAATATAGATTTGTGCCTTTAGTTATAGGATGGAAACAGTCTTTTTTTCCCTCTCCCCAGAGATGGCAAGTCCTGTGGTTGTTGTAAGTAGCTGCAGCTCTCACGAAGAGGAAAATCGTGGCACTTTTAACCAGCACACATCGCTCTCTGAGGAGCTTCTGTTAGAAGACCAGATGAGGCGAAAACTCAAATTTTTTTTCATGAATCCTTGTGAGAAGTTCTGGGCTCGAGGCAGAAAACCATGGAAGCTTGCCATACAAATTCTAAAAATTGCAGTGGTGACTATACAGGTAAGCATCTCAAATCATGAGTTTAATGAGGCCTCTTTTAGTAACAGAGGAGTGAGGACAGTCGTTTTTTCTATCTTTGAACTGTATGTATAAGGGAGAACAATAAATAAGGAAACACACAAACTTAAACCTTTCTCTTTAATATTTGTGAATGAAACCTTTGGGTCTTTTTTTCCCCTTACTCCCCCCCCCCATCTCATCTCTTATTAAATTACAATTTGAGTCACATAATAGAATCAGTTTTTAGGAAAAGAAAATTTTAATATTTGGTCTGTAATAGAGAAGCTGAAGGTTTCTAAATCAGCTGTGAAAACTAGCTGTTACCCAACCAGAGGATTCTTTTCCTTCCTAGATTCCTGGGAATTTCTCTCTCTTCAGAAACTTCAAAGATTCTCTGTTAAGGCAAGTGCTTGGATTCTCACAACACTACAGGGGAAAAAAGTGGAGTTAACTAAAAAAGAGTGGCATAGGTAGTGAAATATGACATTTCACTTTAAGAGAATTTGAATCTCATTTCCTTGACTTCTGTGGACATTTTTGGGGGAAACCGTATTTTGCAATTCTTTGTATATATTGATTATGATTTGCTCTTGTGAAGATATATTTTCCTACTGGTGAGAGTAATTATCCCCATTTCAAAGATGAGAATATTGAGGCTTAGTAAGGTAAAAAAAAATCTGTCATAGTCAGGAAACTATAAGAATGGAGCCGAAAATTAACTCAGATTTTACTCTTAGACCTGTGTTCCTAATTACTCCCACATTTTTTAGGGAGCTCATCTAACCATCCTCTGTTTCCTAGGGTGGTCAAGAGGAAAAGTGACCAATGGTTTAAGATGTTAAGCCTTTTAGTAATAAGCATATAAAAGGCATTTAGGTACATTCCTAAAAGGAACTGAGGGGTTTTTTGTTTTGTTTTGTTTTTTAAGATTTGATTTTTAAGTAATCTCTACACCCAATGTGAGACTTGAACTCAAAACTCTGAGATCGAGAGAGTCGTATGCTCTTTGGCTGAGTCAGCCAGGCACCCCATCTGAAGATTTTTCTTTTCTTTTCTTCTTCTTCTTTTTTTAGATTCATTTTTTAATTTGAGAGAGTGTGTGATAGAGTGTTAATAGAGAGTGTGTGTGTGTGAGTGAAGGAAGAGTAGAAGAGAAAGAGAGAGAATCTCAAGCAGACTCACTGCCAAGCATGAAGCCCGACAGAGGGCTCAATCCCACAACCCTGAGATCATGACCTGAGATGAAACCGAGAGTCTGTTGCTCAACCAAGCGAGCCACCCAGGTTTCCCCAAGGGTTTTTCTTAATTGTGATGTTTCCTTCATCTGTATTAGAGCCACCAAGCAAATATGACATAAAGACTTTGTAACAGAGCAGAACAGGGTGACTGGGTGACAGCCTCCCTCTTTTCAGGAGAAAGAAGGTGGACTTTCTGTTCATTTGGAGAATTTATGTCTGCAGCTCAAATGAACGATGTCTCCGATGATAGGCACCCTGCTAAATGTCCCTTTTCCCCAAGGCCTGGTGCAGTTTCTGAGTTACAGGGAGTTTCTCTCTGCCATGGGTACACCCTTGAGGGCAGGGACCGTTGTTTCTGCATTGTATCCTTGGGACCCAGCTCAGTGCTGTCACGTGGAGGGGGGTACTCATTGGTAATTGGTCCTTAGGAATTCTCTGGAGTCTTTTCGGTCATCAGCTTCATCAGATGTAAACATGAAGCTGTCTTCTTCTTGGGATTTAAAGAGGACACTTGGCTTACTGAGGCTCTTCAGAAACAGAAGTCCAGTTAGCTGGTGGGTGCTGGTATGTGTAGGGTGCAGGGCGTACATCACAAGGAGAGGTGAGAAAAGAAAAGATTTGCATGCTCAGTTTTTCCCCAGTCAGTCTCTGCACTACTTTGTGTAGCTTGATAGGGTGGCTAGAGCTTGCATTTAGTCTGTTAGACTTGGGTTCAGATTTTGACTACACACTTGGCAGTGATGTGACTTGAAAAAAATTATTTAACTTCTCTGGGCCTTTTTGTACCCATCTTTAAAATGGGTATTTAAGGAGCTGTACTGTGGGATTGGTAGGGAGGAAATTCCTGGTATGGCGCATAGGTGCTCAGTGTCGTTTCCCTTTTCCATATAAAATACACCCTGTTTCACTCTGAGATCCCAAATTGGAATGGTATGTTCTAAACTTAACAGCATGTGTGTTTGTGTGTGTGTGTGTGTGTGTGTGTGTGTGTGTGTGAAGACAGAGAGAGAGGGAGCAAGAGAGAGAGAGAGACAGGGAGGGAACAAAAGGAGCAAACAGCAAGAGATTGAGATAGTTTTGGAGGGAAGAGTAGGTGAAAGAGGTACCAGGACTAAAGTCTCAGGTGTGATTGAAAGAGCTTGTGTTAATAAGACAGCAGTGCAGTTAAACAACTTTTTGTGCATGAATAACTGAGTTTTGTGTAAAACTCTGGGGTCAGTCCTGTATGAATAGTAAGGCTATATTATGTTAATATTCTTTAATTTAGAAGTCAGTTGAAAGGATGTTTTTATTTTTGGTCTTATTGTCACAGTTTCGGCAAACTGACAACTATAGTGGTTTGATTGGAGGTTTAGATTTATTTAAGGCACTACTTTTTTTTTTCCTAAAGATTTTATTTATTTGACAGACAGAGATCACAAGTAGGCAGAGAGGCAGGCAGAAGGCTGGGGGTGCGGGGTAAGCAGGCTCCCTGCTGAGCAGAGAGCCCAATGCAGAGCTCGATCCCAGGACCCTGGGATCATGACTGGAGCCCAAGGCAGAGGCTTTAACCTACTGAGCCTTCCAGGCACTCCAAGGCACTTCTTATATTGCATTGTACACCTGCTTCAAAACCTTGGTGTCCTGCACAATTCATTTAAAAATCTTGTACTTGCCTTTTAAGCCCCTGCACCATCTGCCTCCAGTTTTTCCGCTGACATTTTTTTTTCTTGCTGTTCCTTCAGTTGGATTGTGTTGGGATCCTCAGCTTCCCACCCCCAAGTGCTAAGTTCAACTTTACCTTCTTAGCCTTTTAGCTGTGCTCCTCAAGTATCCCCACCTAAGTTATGCACATACTTCAGGGGTTTTCTATCATTATTTCTTTCTTAAGGAAACCTTCCCATTTCTTTAGCCAAAGCGATCTTGCTTCTCTGAACTCCTAATGGAGGACTTCCCTGAAAGTGGTGTTGGAGGGGGGCACTGATATAAGTAAGATCATACTTGAAAATGTGCAAAGCCACTTTCTTTCATTTTAAAACTGGAAGCCCACTTTATCTTTAAGGCCAAATTAATTCACAGCTACAAAAAGTTTAATTTTTATTGAATTTTGTCAAGATCTTAACTTAGGATTAATTAATATTCATACTTGAATTGCTAAATTGATTGTTAAATGGAGACCTTTTATTTCACTGCTTTTTCAACCCCTTTTCCTTTTCTTCTTTTAAGCTGGTCTTTTTTGGGCTAAGTAACCAGATGGTTGTAGCTTTCAAGGAAGAGAACACTATAGCATTCAAACACCTCTTCTTAAAAGGATATATGGACCGAATGGATGACACGTACGCAGTGTACACACAAAGTGACGTATACCATCAGATCATCTTTGCAGTGAACCAGGTAAATCAAGTATGTGTGTTCTTACATGGGAGAAAGAACAGACTGGAAAACTATTAGCAATGTACATAACAGAAACCAACATTCCACTGTAGAAGGGTGAACATTTCTGTGATGATATGTACAAAACCGTTTTAAAATTAAAAAAAAAAAAACGCCATCAAACTTCCATGAAGCTAGAAATTGAGAAAAGCTTTTGTCTAATAACAGAGAGACAGAAACTTTAAAGACTTAATTAAAAGAATCAGAGCTAAGCGTTGGCATGAGCTCCTCAAAGATTTAAAATTAACCATGAACCTGATTTTAAGTAGTCATTAAGTCTTCAGAGTTTATTGGCTCAGGGACCCTTAACAAATAATGAGAATGTTAACTCTGGAGAGCATATATAGCAACTGAAACCTGAACGTTCATTTAAAAAATAAGGAAGGCCTTTATGTCAGACATGACAATGATTTTATTGTAACATTGATTAACTGTCCAAAAAAAGTAAAAATTCTTACAGTGAAATTATGGCTCTTCATTATAAGAGATAATCTATGCACAGTGAGGTAGTAAATTGCTAAGATGACATCTGTATTTATGGCCCAAGGCTTTCTGTTAACACATGGATTGTGAAATTGACCAGAAATTTACAGTGAAGGAAGTAAGCTGTGTAAGTTAGTAAACAGAATCATGGATTTGTGTGAAGGATTCCTCTGTCAAGGTAGAGCTGCAGAGGCAAGTGAGGAGAAATGCCCAGCCTGATTAAAGCCCTCAGAGGACACAGCCACTTGGGGGCCCCATTGGTCAGTTCCATAGGTCACCTGCCTTCTGGCCCTAGTCCCACACACCTCATTCCTGTCCCAGAGTCCTCTGACTCAAGCTCCAGGGCTGCCCTTTAGTTGGACATAGTCCTACCACTTACCCCTGACCATCCAGCTCTTACACAGACCTCCACAGAGTCTTATTAAGACAGCAAGGAAGTTTGGCTGGAGCATTTCTCATAATGTTAGCAGGTTACTTGCATCCCTGAGCCTTGGATCTTCTATGTTTCAAGATCCTACTAAGTTCAAGACACACAAGTTTCTGTTCGTCAGGAGGCTCAGATCTTTAGGTAAGTCCTGTGAGGATTGCTTCACAAATAGTAGGCACTCAGAAGGGCTATAGGACCCCATACTTGTATGACTCTACCTCATGATCCCTGCCTGTCTTTCCAGCTTTACCTCCCTTCACACACCATTGCAGGCACACTGGTCTACTTTGGGACCTTACCAAACTCAAGATCTTTTCATTTAATGGACAGTTTACCTCTTACACCCTCCTACCTCCACTATAAAACTACCAGTTTGGCTCAGAGTAGCTTTAGCAAGGCTTAATACACTTATTTCCTTGAATAGGGAAGAAAAACCTCAAAGCCGAATAACTCCACTGTTATACTATTTGCCCCCTACATGTAAGACGTAATGCTACTTAACAACTTATACAGCTTCCTTTTATTACCATAGATTTCTGGCCCCTTTCCCCAGACCCAGTGCTAACAGAGAGCTTAGTGCTGTAATTACATATCCCATCCCAGCAGTTTAAGCATCTCATTGTGACTAGATTAGCTCTAGTAATGAAGACCAACTATTGCATTTTAATTTTTTTACCTTACCTTAATTTTGACAAATATTTGAGTACCTACTCTATGCCTACTACTGCTTTAAGTGCTGGGGTTAGAGCATTGGCCTTGATAAATTCCTTGCCCTGTGGAATTTACATTCTAACAGAGGAGATGGATTTTAATAAGTTTAACCAAAATCATTTGGTTTCAGATAGTGAGGATTGCTGTGAAGTAAAGTTAAGTAGCCTGAGAGCATTAACAGTTGCCTCAGGGTGGTCCAAAAAGGCCTCTCTGAGGACTGGAAGTCTAGGGAAGAATATTCCAGGCTGAGAGAGTAACAACAACAAAGGCTCTTGAAGCCAGAAAACATTCAGTATGTTTGAGGAAGTATGAAGGGGGTGAGTTTGGCTGGGTTAGGTCTGGTCTCTCAGGGTTTTATACACCCTGGAAAGAAACTTTGAAATTTATTCTGAGAGACACTGCAAGCCATGGGAGGGCTTTCAGTAGGTGAAAGACTGTAATATAATGTAATTATATTACATTAATTGCTAATATACATTAACAAAGGCTAATATTTATTCCTTCAAATAGTTAATATCTGTTGTGTATCAGATACTGTTTTTTTTTTCTTTTTAAGATTTATTTATTTATTTGAGAGAGAGGGAGAGAGAAAGTGTGAGGGGGAGGGGCAGAGGGAGAGGGAGATGAGCAGACTCTCTACTGAACAGGGAGCCTAAAGCAGGGCTTAGTTCCAGGACCCCTAGATCATGACCTGAGCCAAAATTAAGAGTTAGATCCTCGACCAACTGAGTCACAGTGGTGCCCCTCAAATACTGCTTTTGGTGCCTGGATACTACAGTGGACAAATGGACAAAGTTGAGGTAGTCATATTCTAAAAAGGAGGAATAAGCATTAAGTAGATAAGGATACCATTTGTCAGTTGGTGATAAGTATACATAAGTATACAAATGTACACAAAAATAAAAATAAAAGAAGAAGAAGCAACAGGCAGAGTGAATGAATGCAATGAATGGAGGTGGTCAGGAGAGGCCTCTCTGCTAAAGACAGGTGACAGGGCAGACCGGAGTGTGGGGAGGCAGCCGTCTCAGGGAGAAGGGAGGGAATGAGCAGAACATAGAATGGTTCATGTTTTGGGAATCACTGTCCTAAGGCATTACATGCAATAATTCACTTACTCCTATAACAGTCCTGTGAGTTCCATATGGAGACTGGACTGTGGGATATAATTTGAAAGTAATGTATGACTTTCCGATGGACCAGAAGTAGAGTGTGAGAGAAAGAGGCTAACGGGTCATCTCTAAGTTTTGGCCTGTGAGGCCGCGTGGCTTATGGATTCACTGACTGAGAAGGGCATTTTCGTGGAAGGAGCTGGTTTTTCTGTTTGCACGTTTGTGTTTGAGATACCTCTTAGACACCAGGGAGAGGTGTCAGGCAGGCAGATGGCTCCCCAGGTGTGGAATTCAGTGGAAGGGTCAGCAGCTATAAATTTAGAAGGCATCGGCGTACAGATAGTGTTTCAATATGGGGACTGGTTGAGATCATTTATGGAGAGAATGCAGATGAAGAAGTCGAGGGCTGAATCCAAGGTTACTCTGAGATGTAGAGGTTGGCAAGAGCAGGATTCAGCAAAGGAGACTGAGGTGGAGAGCCAGTGTCTCAGAAGTCAAGTGAAGGACGTATCCCGTGCAAGGGAAAGCACTCGGCTGCATCAGACACCGTGGGCAGGCTAAGTTAAATGAGAGCTGAGAACCGTGCATCAGATCTGGTAAAATGATGCTCTTGGCAGCCTGGACAAGGCCCACTCAGCATCCGTGCCATAGGCTCAGATTATAAAAAGATTTATTTTATTTAATTTAGCATGTTTCACATGCAGTGTTTGGTAGAATTATCTATCTCTGTGTCCATCCCACTAAATCATTAATTCCAAGAGATGGATACCATAGCACTATCTTTGTATCGCTAATTGTGCTAAACAGCATTGTTCATGGTAAGCTCTGAAGCATTTTATTTTCTTCTACAGAGGTCCATGTAGGGTTTAAGTTGATGATTATTCCAATAGTCCCATAAGATCCTCATTTGTAAAATTATATTTGATTTTATTTATAGGACTCCCTAGGATGAGGGAATATTGCTGTGAAAGTGACTAAACTGTATTCTTGTAATGATAAAGATGAAATAGTGTTGGTTTTTTTTTTTTTAAGTTTTGCAAGTTAGCTTGGAACAGTTGTATCCCTCTTCTATACTACAGCAGCAAAGAAGAACTCTGACCTTATAGGAAATGGTTCAGACATAAAGTTTGTATTCACACTGAATGCAAAAATCAATTCCTGAATATAGATCTTTAAAGAAGGAAAGATTGCAGAGTTGATGCGGTGTAAGCTTTATCATTTTGTAGACAAGGAACCGGAAGCTCAGAAAATTTGTGACGTGTTCACACTCACAGAAATGAGACTGCAGCCCAGAACTCTAATTTGGGAGTGCTTTCTGTCCTGGCACCCAGTAGCAGGTCCTGTGCTCTGCATATCAATGTGAACGTGAACGTGAATATCTCTGCCCAGAGAGCAGGTTGGAACCTCCCATTTCACAGGCAGGGTGGGCAGGGAACCATGGCTTCATTTCTGTCTGGCTGGTGTTCCCATTTTCTGTTTCTCTTTTCGGGTGAAGTACTTGCAGCTCCGCAATACCTCGGTTGGGAATCATGCTTACGAGAAGAAGGGTATGGAGCAGTCTGCTATGGCGATCTGTCAGCGCTTCTACAGGCAAGGAAACATCTGTCCTGGAAATGATACCTTTGACATTGATCCAGAAATTGAAACTGGTGAGGTTCTTCAAAAAACTAGAGCTTCCTTTTTTTTAAACTCCTTGATTTATTCTTAAAATCAGTAATTTCATCTCTAAAAACATCCATTTGGTCTGTCCTCTTAGATCATAGTAAGAAACTATGTAGGAGTTATTATTATGTATCAGGTACTGTCCCAAGCCCTTCACTGTAACTCATGATTTTTAAAAAATAGCAAGAACAAACCAATAAGGAAAGATATATTGCTATCCTCACTTTATAGAAGACTAAAGGATGGCTCAGAGAGTTAAGTGATACGGTCCAGACGGAGCTAGTAAGAAGCAGTGCTGAACTTTGACCCAGGCTGTCTGTGCTCTGAGCCCTATGACATTGTTAGCCTCTATATGCCAGTTCCTCTTGTGCTGGATAAGCCAGTTACATAAACTTACACTATCCTTACAAAATGTTGTACTTGCGAATTCATCACGTATATAAAACTCCCTCCCCTCAATTGCACTTCTCTACTTAGTATCTTTGATGGTGGATTCAGGGAAGAATTAGAATAGAATGCCTTTTTCTTCTTCTTCCTCCTCCTTCTCCTCCTCTTCTTCTTCTTCTTATTATTATTATATTTTTATTTTTATTTATTTTTTGAAGTAGTCTTCATGCCCAGAGTGGAGCCCAATGCAGGACTTGAACTCACAACGCTGAGATCAAGATCTGAGATGAAATCAAGAGTCAGTCACTGAACCAACTAAACCACCCAGGTGCCCTTGAGTGGCTTATTCTTATTAGCAAAGTTCTATTTACAATGTGTACTTAAACCTTAACTTAAATCTTTGAGTTAAAAACTAAGTATCCAGATACTTTTAACAATAGTCACTGGAACGTTTTTTGGAGAGGGATAGTAAAAGGATTATAATACAGATTAGTGGAATCTTTTAAAATGCTGTCTTCCTTTTTTTTTAAATTTTAAAATAAAATAGAATTAAAAAAATAGATCCTTTAAATTTAGAAAATTTTATCTTAGGTACTGCAAGCACTTCACACTTATGCTTAGGATACAAAAAAGGGAGAAGGGACTCAAAGTTTAGGCTCACAAAGGCAGGCAGGAAGATCGCATTCTGTAGAAGACTAATGAGACAGAGTTCAGGTCTCCTACCCTTCACCCACTCCAGAAATGTAGCCGCTTGTGCCTTAAAGACAAATGACTCATTGTAACCAAGTGATATAGATGTTTAGCTTTTAAATCTTAATTCAGAAGAGCAGTAGAATCTGAATATCTAGTCTTAAATGTATTATCCTTTCAAGACACCGTTCACTTATTTATTTTAGGCAATAAACATAATGTGTTTTGGGTTTTTGTTTTTTTTTTCCTTTCTATGGCAGAATGTTTCTTTGTAGAGCCAGATGAACCTTTTCACACTGGAGCACTGGAAGAAAATAAACTCAACTTAACTCTGGACTTTCATAGGTGAGGAAGCAGATGGGCGTGTACCTTGTGTGTCTCTGTGTGTATGTTTTCACTGCACTAAAGCCTCCTCTGTTCCCTAGACTCCTAACAGTGGAGCTGCAGTTTAAACTGAAGGCCATTAATTTGCAGACCATTCGTCATCATGAGCTCCCTGACTGTTATGACTTTTCTCTGACTGTAAGTGTGGGCTGGGCTGAATTTGGTCCCAGGCTAAGGGAAAAATGTCTGATTTAGTTACATGTTTTACCTACCCATATTAAAGCATGATCAGCTATACAGGATCTTTCCATTTGCCTGTGCCTAGGGGAAGCATTGGCATAGCTGGCTCTGCTTTGTTATGATAACTTGTTTACTTGTTAATTATCTGTCCTCTGTACCTCGGTGTAAGTCCTGTGAGGACAGAGACCTTGCCTGGTTCAGTGCAGGGTCTCTAGTGCTCAGACCAGTGCCTGGCATAGGGGAGGTGTTCAATATAAAGGCGGCAGAGGCTTGTAGGTCCTCTCTAGTTGGCTCTTACCAGTCTGTGGCTGTCTGCTTATGGTCATTGCCAAGGTTTTGGCTGATGAGGCTCTTCAGTGTAGATGTGTGCAGCCTTTGGGTTATTGCTCACAGTGCCTTCCTTGGGCTGCCTCTGGATGCTCTGGTTCCTCCCTGTTCAGCCCACCCTGCCACATCTCTGGTCTCTTTATTCCAGTTGCAAATGGAGCTCTGAACGCTCTCTAGAGAGCGCGAGATGCCTCCCATGTGAGCTCCTCACCCCATGAGGCTAAAGGTTAGCAATCCAATGCTGCATGGGGGCATAGGTGGAACAGCATTTGATACAACTTGCCTTCACACAGTCCAGATTGTTGTTACTTAACACCAGAGCCCTGTCCATGATATTCAACTAATTGGCTATGAGAAATCAAGTCTTCAGAGGTCGAAGTTCAAAAGATCAGAATAGAATGTAATTAATAATTATGCATATCATTTAGCAGGAAAAGGCACTAATACTATAAGACTATTTTGTATTAGGCTACAAATTTTGATCCTAATACTAACTGGGAAGTCATGAATTTTCAATATTGATTTTTTAAAAATTGAGCGATTATCCACAGTCTTGTCTCTTCTCCCTTCTCTCCCTTACCACCGCCTACACCACTCTCAAACTAAGAAATGACACCATTCGGAAGTTCTATAATCCTCAGGGCTCAGCTCATCCGACATCTTCTTCCCAGACCCTCTTTGTGATGCTCCAGTTACGAACACAGTCTGTGCTCTGAACTCCAGGGTTTTATTTTTGGTTTTGTTTTTATATTTTGTATAGACTCACCCACCTTCTCTTTGGTTTTAGGATTTTCTAGGCTTTTATCATCAATTCTGCTAGACTGAAAGCTCCTTGAAGGCAGGAATCAGTTTATTAATCTTTGCATCCCTCAAAGAACATAGTAGGTGACATCAATATTTGCAGAATGAAACGTTTATAAAATGTAGACTCTTTCCCGTGACTCGATACAGTGGCGAGAGTAACTTGGACTGTTAGCCGCATGTGGATGTTCTATTTCTCCTGTCATTGCTGATTCCACCCAAGCTATGTCTGTGCCTTGTGGATTTAGTGGTGTGTCTCGCAGAACTATAGTGCAAATGATGCCCTATAGGGTGGTTTAATAATAAATGCAATTAGTGCCACCCTATGGTTATAAGTAAACATGAGCTGGGCCCGTATATGCCTGATTGAAAATGCAGGGGTTTTGGAGTCAGGCAAGTCTAGATTTTAATTCCATCTCACCAGGTAGTATCTTGTAACTTTAGGCAAATTACTTAATTGGTTTCAGTTCCAGTTTTCTCATTTGTAAAAGGGAATTAATGATCACCTACCTAACAAAGTTGTTGTCAAAACATCTGCTCTATCATACTTCATATGTACAAGATATTTAAAGGCCTTCCTCGGTATCTGGTTTATAGCAGTTATTTGATTTATGTGACAGCTATTTATGAAACCTGCCTGTATGTGCCTCTAATTTGGATTTATAATGTAAAAGTAGTGCATTAACATTCATTCATAGTAAGTTAATATATTCTTGCATCATGTACTTTGAAGTTTTTTTATTAGGTGTACAAACATCTAGGATTCTTGCGTTCATTTGAGGAAATTTTACTTCATTATGAAATGGTACTTTTCACCCCAGTAATATTCTTTTCTCTAAAATCTACTTTGTTTGATGTTAATATAACCACTCCAGCTTTCTTCTAATTAGTGTTAGGATGGTATATCTTTTTCCATCCTTTTGATATTAACCTGCTTGTATCTCATGTTTAAAGTTGGTTTCTTATTAGGCAGCATAGAGTTAACTCTTGCTTTTTTACCCAGCCTCATAATCTGTACCTTTGAAGTGGGGTGCGTAGACCATATAAATGACATGTGGTTATTAATATAGTTCCTCTCTTTTTCTGCCTGGATTGAGTATTTTTGGGGTCCTAGTTTAGCTCCTGTGTTGGTTTGTTAGCTATAACTTTTTTTGTATTATTTTAGGGTTTCCAGTACACATATTTAAATTATTACCATCTGCCTTCAAGTGATATTATGCCACTGCATGTAGAGCACAGGAATCCTATAACAATCTATTTCTGTGTCTCGTATCTTGGTTTTTATATTGTTGTCACACAGTTTATTTCCAGATGTGATACAAACTATAAAATGCATGGTTAGTAGTTTTTGTTTAAATAATTATCTTTTAAGCAATTTAAATAATAAGAAAAAAAAAGTATATTGGCCCATGAGGTAAGCATTTCCAACATGCTTCATTCTTTAGTGTAGCTCCAGGCTTCCATCTGGGATCGTCTTCCTTCCATCTGAAGGGCTTCCTTTGACATTTTTTATAGTGCAGGTCAGCTGAAAGGTTTTTATATGCCTAAAAAAGTATTTATTCCACCTTCATTTTAAATTCTTTTTATAACGACTTTATTTATTCATTTGAGAGAGAGCGCCTGCAAGCAGGGAGAGTGGCAGACAGAGGCAGAGGGAGAAGCAGACCCCCACTGAGGAGGAGGGACTCAGTCCCAGGACCCTGGGATCATGACCTGAGCTGAAGGCAGACACTTAACTGATGGAGACACCCAGGCACCCCTAAAGAGCAGGCATTTGAAAGAATGTTTTTTCTTTAAAACTTAAGAGAGAAGGCACTAAAAACAAACCAAACAAAACCACATCTGATTTCCTTGCTTTCCCTGTCTCTGCTTGAGCAAAGTGGAGAGAGCTAGAAGGGAGACAGTAGGACTATGGAAGGTGTTCTGGTGGCTTTGTCCGGCTTGGTGCCTGGTGTCTGAAATGGTGATCCTTGAAGCAAAACATGGCTGTTAACTCCTTGTCACCCCATCCTTGCTGGTACATACAGTACTAGAGTAACTAAGAAGTCTAGGCCCAGAATAAAAATCAGGGAAGCTTCCCCTGAAATGTTGTAAGCCTGAGATCATGAATCTCTGTGTTTGTAAGAAGTACAGCAGCACTAACTGTCCCCAGTCGAGCCCATGGGCTGAGGGAAAGCACATTTGTACCTGCTCTTGCTCTTATCAAGAGGGCATCTGGAGGTACTCAGAGTGGGAAGGAGAGAGATCTCTTGCTTTATAAGGTGTCCAGGGCTGGAATACTATCCTAGAAATACAGGGTTTTAGAGACTAAAAGTTCTTGACAGAAGATCTTGTCCAACTTTCTCATTTCACAGACAAGTAAAGGGCACTTCCCAAAGTTGAAAAGAGTTAGCATCAACTCGAGGATGAGAGTCTGGGATGAGAATCTGGGTGGATATCCTGTTACCTTGAAAGATATGCCTCCTAATTAATGCATAGAGACATCTTGGTTTCAAGAACTGTAGGTATGTTTTTGACCCTTTTCCTATTCTTCACAGATAACATTTGACAATAAGGCCCATAGTGGAAGAATTAAGATAAGTTTAGATAATGACATTTCCATCAGAGAATGTAAAGACTGGCATGTATCTGGATCAAGTAAGTGGTGAATTTTACTAGTTTTCAAAAATGGTTATTAAATAAAATAAGTTATTAAATTACTGGGATATGTGGAGCATCAAATGAAAGAATCAGATCAATCCCAAGTTCCTAACTCTCTGCAAATAGATCAGCTCATTGTGGGTGTCTGGTGTTCCAGGCAATGAGTAAGTTATTAGTAATTGAAATGACTTTTGCTGACCCCCTATATGTTTTTACCAAAAAATGCACAGGACGCCCCCAGGAAAGAAAGTTACATATGCCCATACTAATATTTACTGAGTGTTTACTGCATAAGGACATCCACCTACATTTTAATATTTTTAAAATATCCTTGAGATAGGCAGCACCCCTATTTACACAAATGAAGAAACTACAGCTTAGAAGTGAATCTTGGGGCCTCTGGTCATACAGCCAGGGAGAGTCAGGTGGGATTGGACCCTGAAGCATCCTGCACTAATATTTTTATATTTAGGAATGAGGAAAGGGTACATTTTTGGAAATACGGACATGAATTCAAGTATAGACTAAGTACGATTGGAAATTTGGGGGAAATTGACTGGAAAAGAATTGATCTGTCATTTTTTAGTCCCTTTGGTATGTTGTGCTGGATTAGGTCAGGGGTTCTTGGATTCTGGTGAGAAGAAGAATCACCCCAGGTTCCGCTTAGATGCAGTTTCCCTAGCTCCCTGCAAGGCAGTCAGTAGGTCTGGGGTGGGGCCTAGGAATGTGCAGGTCACCCTCAATCACGCAATACTTGGAAAATCATTGCCTTAGGGCTTCCTACTAGTTGATTCACAAATTTCAGAAGTGGTAATGAGATAGTGAGGATAAATGAAATTTCTTCATTCTAGAATTCTTTTCATTAAGAGGTAACTTCACATATTTGAGGCTCATGAATCACAAATTTTATTTCAATACAAAATTACTTATTTGAAACACAAGCCTGTCTTGTCATCTGTAAACCCTACAATACTTCTCCACAAACTCTGGAATAGAGAAAATGAGAGCATATGAAAGTATGTTGGCATGGAGGCTTTCTTTCAAATGTTTGTTTCTTAGTTTTAAAATTTTCCTAAAGTAGATGCAGGCATTTTGATAACAATTAGATGCCCCTTGGCCAGTATTAATGGGATGCTTCATTATAGAACTTTCAACTATAGAACTATAGTCTTAAGTGCTTGTCTTTTCATCAGTGGGGAGCAGTCTACCTTGTCAAATAAAGACAGGCTGTGTAGGAGAGCATATGAGGGCTGAGACCTCTGCTCACCTCCCTTCACCTGGCTGCACTCATGCTGGCCATGACTTTGTACTTGCCATTCTCCAGACTCTCTGCGTGGGTGGCTCCGTCTTAGCACTCAGGTCTTGCCTGACACCTGCTGCCCATTACTATGCCATATAAACGAGCCTCTTCACCCCATTCCCCCCACACCAGCCTCTCTCATTTAGGGCAGTGATTCTCAACTTCAATGCCAGCTGAGCAAGCTTGTGAAAATGCAGTTTCTGATGCAGTGGGTCTAGGGCAGCCCTAGAAAGTGTGCATTTCTAACAATTCCCAAGGGGTCCCCAGAACCACTCATACAGAGTGACAGATGCTGGAGACAGACTGCAGAGGTTTGAATCCTGACTCGGCCATGTACTGGCTATGTCACCTTGGGCAAGTTTCTCTGACCTCTTTGTGCTGCATTTTCTCACCTGCCAAGTGGGGATAACCACACAACCCTGGTTGGGGTTGGGCTGAGGATAATATGACTTAATACACATAAAGTGCTTAGGACTGTGTGTGGCACAGCAACACAAGGTAGCTATTATGCCTATTTTCTCCATACCACTTCCTCCTGTCTGGGAGTCTTCTGTTCATTTACTTGTGTACTTCCCTACATGCGGTGCTGCCGTTAGTGGAAATTCCACAAGTCGGGGGCCTATCTTGGTCACCACTTTTATCCTCAGCATCTAGAGAAACACTTGAGACACAATAGGATCTTAATAACTATTTTACATCCAGATAGTGTATTTTAATAGGATGTCAGGAAGGCTAACTGCATTAAGTACAAAAGACCACAGGCTGATAATTAAAGATCTGTTATTGATGGCTATAATAATTTTTAAAAGAAGGACTTTGAACTTTCTTGAAATACTCACATGAACAACACTTAACCAAGGCCTTTTCACTCTGTTGTCTTTGCAGAAAGAATGTCTAAATAATCTAAATTATTTTAAAAAGCAGCGTAAAGGGTTCAGATAAAGTTTGAAAATGCTTCTGAAGGATGCAGAAAGACCCGAGTCGGTGGAAAGGCACATCATATTTTTTGGATAAGCGATTTTACATTATGTATATGCCAATTCTCCCTAAATTAATTTATAAATTTAGCATGATTCCCCTCCTAAAAAAAAATTACCAGTAGGATTTTTATTGGAATTTAACAATCTGATTCTAAAGAATGTATGGAAAAATAAACAAGCAAGAGTAGCCAACACAAATTCCAGAAAAGAGTGATAAGAGGTGTTTGCCTTAGGCATTAAAATACACAAAAACATCAAAAGGGTAAGAGATGGTTCTCAAAATACATACAGTAATTCGGCAGCTGATAGAGACGGCATTTCAGATCATCGGGAATAAGATTGGCTCTTTTGATTGGCAAAAATAAAGTTATTAATTTCCAACGGTGAAGATGTGGGGATATATAAATTGGGGTGATCTTTTTGGAGGGCAATTCCTTAGGATTTCTTTTTAGAACCATGTATTTGCCTTACCCCAACAATTCCATCTCTAGATATTCATTTGTCTAAAGAATCACTTACACCTGTGCTCAGAGAGGACAGATTACAATAGGAGCGTCCTTATAAATCTAATACATCTATCCTGTGGTATGCAATGCAGCAGTTCAAACACATGAGGCTAAGAATGAAAAGAAGAAAGAAAGAAGTAGCACTCACCATACTAATGTCCCATTGCATAAGCAGGGCCCGCTCTTTCCTTCCAGTTCAGAAGAACACTCACTACATGATGATCTTTGATGCCTTGGTTATTCTGACCTGCCTGGCCTCACTAATCCTGTGCCTTCGATCTGTGGTTAGAGGACTTCAGCTTCAGCAGGTAAGGCTTGCTGCTTTCTAGAAATGCTACGGACACTGATTGACAGAGAAATTCACGATGCCTCCCCTCTTTTCCCTAAAGGAATTTGTCAATTTCTTCCTCCTCCATTATAAGAAGGAAGTTTCTGTTTCTGATCGAATGGAATTTGTCAACGGATGGTACATTATGATTATTATTAGTGACATATTGACAATTATTGGCTCAATTCTGAAAATGGAAATTCAAGCTAAGGTAATTTTTTTCCTACTTATGCCATCATTAGTATCAGATTTGCACTCACATTTTTCCAGAATGTGAACATTTGCAGAGTAAATGATTTCTTTCAAACGTTGTATCAAAGAAACTTAAAATCCATAGAAGTAAGGTTCTTAGATCTCATCAGGAAATCTCTTGGGCAGAACTGTCCAAAGATGATACACAAGCCTCTGCGTCAGAATCATGTGGGAACCTCATGTTGACCTATCGGCAGGTTTGAACACTGCGAGAGCTCCCTCTTTGTTGGTGCACTTTTTCACTAGGCTATCACTTGCCTGGTTTCCACCCTAAATCACAGGCTGGTCTTCTGACTCCCTTTGCTAGATCCTTCTATCTCTAACTGACTAAAGGGCCACTGCTTCAAGGTGCAGTGCTTGAACATGTGCTCTTTTCTGCCACTGTCTTGGTGATCTCCTCCTGTGCCATGGCTTTGAATAGCAGCTCTCTGTCAGTCATTTCCAAATCTTTATCTCCAGCTTGGAATTCTTTTCTGAACTCTAGTCTCAGATATCCAACTGTTGATTTCGTGTTTTCATTTGGATGTCTACTTGGCCTCTCAAATTTAACATACCTAAAACAAAGCTCCCCAAATCTCCACCTCCACAGTCCAAACCCGCTTCTCCTTTCTGACTTCAGTTAATGGTAACTCTTCTCAGTTGCTGGAGACAAAAGCCACGGATGCATCCTTGACTCTTCTCTTTCACTAATCCCCTCCGCCCTCCATCTAAACCAAGAGGAAATCCTATCCATCTATCTTCAGAAACTGTTTCATCACCTCCACCATGACCAGCCTGGTCCCAGCCACCATCAGCTCTCACCTGTATTATTGCAATAGCCTCACTCTTCTGACAGTCTGTTCTTTTTTTTTTTTTTTTTAAGATTTTATTTATTTGACAGAGAGAGAGAGAGAGATCACAAGTAGGCAGAGAGAGGTGGGGAAGCAGGCTCCCTGCTGAGCAGAGAGCCTGTGGCATGGTTCCATCCCAGGGCTCTGGGATCTTGACCTGAGCCCAAGGCAGAGTCTTAACCCACTGAGCCACCCAGGCACCCCTGACAGTCTGTTCTTAACAACAACAACCCAAATGGGATCATATCACTCCTGTTCAGAGCTCTCAATGCCCCCCACCCCCAGCCTATCAGAACAAAATGCAAAGTTGTTAAATTACCCACAAGGCCCTAAACTACCTACCTCCTTAGCTCTATGATTCTGTTCTCTCCCCCATGGCTCCCTCCCTCTGGCTGACTCGCTGTCTTGCCTGGCATCCTCCTGCTGTGGGACATTTGCCCCTGCTATTCTCTGTGCCTAGAACACTCCTCTCCTAGATTTTTCCTTAGCTTGCTCCCACACTGCCCTCAGTCTTTTTGTTCAAATACCACCTTTTCAGGAAGACCTTCCTAATCACCCCATTGAAAATGCAACCCGGATAGCCATTCTCTCTTCCCTCCCCTGAATTTTCTCCTCAGCACTACCATCAGCTAATGTACTGAGGGTTTTGTCAATGTATTTCTGTTCTCTCTCCCCCACACAGACTAGAACGCAAGCTTCACAAGGGAAGGAAATTTTGTCTCTTGGTTCATTTCTTTGTTCTTAGCACCTAGAACAGTGCTTGAATCACATCAACCCAAAAAATATTTTTTGGCCCCAGTGAATAATCTGCTTTCCCCCCGCCCCCACTCTTCTAGAGTCTAACAAGTTATGATGTCTGTAGCATACTTCTTGGGACTTCCACCATGCTCGTGTGGCTTGGAGTCATCCGATACCTCGGCTTCTTTCAGAAGTACAATGTAAGGATTCCGTGGATCTCCGTGCTGCTGGTATTGCTGTCTTTCCTTGGTTGAGGGACTAGCGGATTGTAACGGCCTCTCTTCCTTTCCCAGCTCCTCATTCTGACCCTGCAGGCAGCGCTGCCCAATGTCATCAGGTTCTGTTGCTGCGCTGCTATGATTTACTTAGGCTACTGCTTCTGCGGATGGATTGTGCTGGGGCCGTACCATGATAAGGTACCGATAAACAACTTTTTTCCTGTTTCTGTTAATTATGTTAATTACCCTTTTAAAATAAGCCTCATCCATTTTGTGATATCAGCCTGAAAATGTTGAAGGTAGAGTATATCTAGTGCCATGTTTAAAAAGTGGTACAGTGTGACCAACTGGAGAGAATAATTAATTCACTCAACTACTTCACCTTCTTTTGTGGAATATATCAGATAATTACATCTTTTTTTTTCCACCTATGAGGTCAAGATTAGTCCATTGGATTCATCAATATATATTAGAGTAAGCTATTTAGGCAAGACTTTTGGAAGTGTGATTTTATTAAAAAGGTAGTATAGAGAGAAAGTTGAAGAAATATTTGAAAATTTTGTTACCAGAGTTATAAACTGGATTATAATGCCATGAACCTAAGTGGAGTGAGCTTTAAAACGAGAAGTATAAGCACGCATGGTTAGGACTTGGGTATCTCTACAGAAGTGTTTCTAGGATCTCTTTCTATGTAGGTAAAGCAGATGGTAAGACTTGACTCAGAAAAGCACCAAGAGTGCTGGCTGGCCCCTTCTGCTTCAGTTCAGGCTATCCCATGAAGGGGAGCATCAAGAAAGAGCTGCTTGTTCCCAGGAAAATAGTAGGCGTTATACAGGCTGTACAGATCACACAGCAAATGCTTGCAGTTTCGTCAAATTAAGCACATTGTTTGCAGAGGTAACTTGGGATATCTGGTCCCATTATTTTTAATATGCTGTCATGAACATGAACATGAAGGAACATGGAATAAAGTAAACTTTCTCTTTTCTTTTTCCAGTTCCGTTCTCTGAACATGGTCTCTGAGTGCCTTTTCTCTCTGATAAATGGAGATGATATGTTTGCCACGTTTGCAAAAATGCAACAAAAAAGTTACTTGGTCTGGCTATTTAGCAGAATTTACCTCTATTCATTCATCAGCCTCTTTATATATATGATTCTAAGCCTTTTCATTGCACTGATCACTGATACATATGAAACAATTAAGGTAGGTTCATCAAGAGTGGTAAGTAGCAACATTTCCAGAACTTGTAGAATGGCAATAAAATATGGTACCTAAGAGAGAGGAGACTTGATAGAATGTCAATTTTTTCAGGGTAGAAAAAAAAAGACTTCAATTTTAGATACTGAGACACAGAAAGGAAGAATTAGAATTTGTAGAATGTTCAAAGTTTTGTCTCCAAGTAAGCTTTTTCACACAAGCTTTCTAAACTTTTATTAGAATTACAAAGATCAAGGGTGCCTGGCTGACTCAGTCAGAAAGCGTGTGACTCTTGATCTCAGGGTCATGAGTTCAAGCCCATGGTGGGTATAGAGAGATTACTTAAACAAACAAACAAAAAACCACCTTAAAAAATACTTCTAAAATTTAGTAGGTTTTAAGTGAGCAAAACATACGACATTTCAAAATTTTATGGTGAAGTTTTAAAATCCAATTTTCATAAAGAAAAAAATGACCTCTTAGTTCAGAATGTGCTGTGACTGAACCCATACTCTTTGCAAAGCCCTGCCTGGGACCATCCTAGAGGCCAGTCTCCAGAAGAATGAAGGGATTAGTATATCAAGTACTAGCCATGTATGCCTTATACATGTCAGAAATATGATTTGAAAAGCTGTTATTTATATTGTCACTCACATGGGATATTTTAAAAATAAGTTTGAGCCCTTTGAAATATGGAAAGGCAGGGTAAATATCCATGTACATTTAAATTTCTAACAACTTGTACTATTAGGTATACCATTGACATAGGTGTTCCACTTGGGGACTTTCTTTTGGGTATGAGAAGGGTAATGAAAGATGATGTCATACAAATGATCCCACGGATAGAGCAAAGGTTAGCAGGGGTCAATGGGTTATGAGTTGATAATTATACATACCTTGATAATGAAGCCAGGGCCATGACTTCATTTTTACTGAATCGGATTTCAAGAACTGAGTGTCCTCAATACTTGCTTGGCAGACGTGTTCTTAGAGTCACCAAGAGCACTGGGAAAGAGTATAGTTGTACCTGTCCAAATCCCTCCCCTGTGCTCTAAAAATTCACTGCCTTTAGCTTTGCATGCAGAGAACGATACGCTATTTAAGGGTGATATCCCAGGTCTCAAAGAGTAGTAATATGAGTTGACAACTCTTGATGACACAAGTCTGAGACTCACAGTTTAGATGTTTACCTCTTTCCATGAGCTCAGAGCACCTGTCAGGTGGGCAAGTGATGGCTGATCTTCTCTGGTCAGGGCATGTTCTAGAGACCTTAGACCCCAAACTGAGGTTAATACAAGGCCCTTAAACAAACCTGTCTGTCTGGAAGAGAGACTCCAAAAGGGTATGGAAGCTGAAGTCTCTCTGGAAAGACCACTCAGACTCAACATGCCCATTTTGTGTTGAACCAGACCCACAAAAGAGCCTATGAGGACACTGCAGAGTTCTAGACTCACTTTTCCTTAGCTAGACTTAAGAATGGCTCTAGAGGCTTTATCTACTTGAAAATACTTGGAAGTGACTGAACTATTCCTCCAGAAAGATCCCCCTCCCTTGCCAAATGATCCATTTTGAATTTGGAATATAGCTGTTTTCAAGGGACTTATTGATGAGAGGTTTTTTTTTTTTTTTCCTAATTCTTCTGTGTAGCATTACCAACAAGATGGCTTTCCAGAGACTGAACTTCGTACATTTATATCAGAATGCAAAGATCTACCCAATTCTGGAAAATACAGATTAGAAGATGACACTCCAGTATCTATATTCTGCTGTTGTAAAAAGTAGCTATCAGGCTAATCTGTGCCCTGGAGGGAAATATAATGTGTAGCTGAGTTGGGAAACTGTATGGATATTTTAAGATCAAGTGTCATAGGTTTAAAGACTATTACTTTGAGCAAACTTGTAATTCATCAAGAACTATTTATATTTTTAAAAGAAATATTTAATGTCTTTTGCAGCTTTGTGTTGGGTTTGTGTGTGTTGTTTTTTTTTAAACTAACTTTGATGAGAGAAGCTATTGGGTTCTTGTTATTTCTTGTTTATTTTGCCATAGCTTTAAAATGTAGTCTTCATCCCCTCTTTAGCTCTTAACCTCTTGCTTCCAGCTCTTCTGACTGGGTTGATTGTATCATGAGTGGAGAACAATGCCTGGTCGGAATTCACACAACTCTCTCACCCTGGTCTTGACCACTCTCTTGAGATTCATCCCTGAGAGAGAGGGGATATGGTTGCTGTATATCAGTAATCATTGTATTTTAAAATCTTGTCTTAAAGGACAGAGTAAGAGACAACTGTCACCAGCAAACAGTCCAAAATTTGGTTCTGAAGGACAACTGTTATGTGATGCTGCTTTTAGTTCTGCAAAGGATCAGGTTTTCTTAGTATTCATGTATAAGTTTTTTCTCCTTCAGTGTTAAAGTACAGAGTTGAAAGAGTATCCTCTATATATATAAAAATTAAAGTGCACACTTTATCCATTCTGCAAAGATTAATTTACTGCTTGTGTGGGCTTGCACAAACTCTGTGATGTACTGTGCCCTTCACGGGCACGTTCAGTCTCACGGAAGAGAGTGTTTCAGTGTCAGGAACTGCAGTTTCAGGGGGAGAGGTTCTAAAACTCACATTAAATATATTTTGAAAAACATCCTGAAAATGTAAAAATAAGCAGGAAATGTATGCCTTAAAAAGACACAGAAACAAAGTCTCCACTCCTTGTATACTGCTGATTGGAATTTCAGGGATTTTTCCAATATGCATCTTTTTGTGTGCTATTTATTCAAATAGAAATGAATTCAATGATGTGCAATAAAGGTTTTCTCAAAGCACCTTTTTTTTTTTTTGTAAAGGAAACCAATTTGTTAATTTTTTATTTTGCTTAAGGGCTAAATGCATATTACCTTGAGATACTGAAGTCTTACTATTTAACATAATGACAATCATAATAATGACTCCAGGTGTTGAAATGTGAGGTTTTACAATGAGTATAAGCTATTCTTCCAGGACTTATGACCTTTAAAAAATGGAAAATCTAGGTCTCTGGATCCCCTGGTGTTTCATTTGCAAATTGAAATTTGAGATACTTGGAGTTCCCCACTGCAACTATTTCTCCCTCTACAGTGTTTGATAAGAATTTACTTACTGTCTTTTAAAAAAATAATACCTTTATAAAAATTAAAAACAATACCTTTATACCTATCAATACTGTATGTATCACCAATTACAGGTATTTAGGCCCATGTATCTCTTCTCCACTTGGTGAAACTAAGGAAACTTCTCCAGATCAGGAAAGCCATTCAAGGGCAGTAACTGTTAATTATGTCTCCATCAGTGTGTCAGTGTGGTGAGAATAAAGGCTTTGGAAACTCAAAGACCTGAATAGAAACCTTGGATCTACTACAAATTGTGTGGGTGACCTCGGGGCAGTAACTTAAGCCTCTCTGAACCCATTTTCCTCATTTCAAAAGGAGAGGACAGGACACAGAGTGCTGAGTGTTCTGTGAGATAACATGTAAATCAAGCTTCATAACTGGTGGGCACTCAGGGTTACTCTGGTCCCTTGAAGCACACAGCCCTTGCACGTGGTGAATGTTAATAAATGCACTGTTAGGGGTGCGTGGGTTGGCTAAGACTCTGCCTTTGGCTCAGGTCATGGTCTCAGGGTCCTGGGATCGAGCCCCACATCGGGCTCTCTGCACAGCGGGGAGCCTGCTTCCCCCTCTCTCTGCCTGCCTCTCTGCCTACTTGTGATCTGTCAAATAAGTAAAATCTTAAAAAAATAAATAAATGCACTATTAACAACAAATTTTCTTTTTAAATACCCAATCATAAGTTATTTAGTAGGAATATGAAGTTTTAGAAAACACCTGTAATGAGAAGTCGGCTGATATAAAAAGAAGTTATCCCAGTTTACAGTCCCCCTCTAAAGGGATTGTTGTTCTTAGTGGAGTCCTAGCGTTTTGAGATTAATAGGGTGGCTCTTCATGGTGAATTTTCTTTCAATTAAAAAGCCTTGAAAATTCCGTAGTGTAAAAACTGTGCATATACATGTGCTATATACATGATATGTAATTGTGTACATATTTACACTATATATATATATATAAACATAGTATGTCTTACTTTCCATATGCTTCCTCCAACACTTTCCAATCAAGCCACAGTCTGTCTTTTTCATGGAGTCCACATCCTCCCCACAAAAACCACGCTGTACTATTTCCTCTCCTCTTCCAAAAAGGAACCTAACCAAACCACCCTTGCGCCCACCTGTAGATTCAGTACTACGCAAACGAGATTTTCCAAGCCTGTCCGCACCCAGTGGGCACCTTTGTGAAAAGAACTCTAAAATAGGTACTTTTGCCTTAAAAGTGACTTTCAGAAGAGGGTCAGTTATGTGTATCTATTTACCTTATTCTGTCCAATTACGTCTACCAGCAGGCGCATTTTAATATAATTACCTAGCAGAATATTCTTTTCCCTAGCTAACCCCAGAAACCTTTTAAGCACTTGCCGATCCAAATCGCCTGAACTCAGGACTTTGCTGCTGCTGCTGCTGCTGCTGCTGCTACCACGGGGAAAGAAGGAATAGGACTCCCCGGAAACGAGGCTGTCGGCCTGGTCCAAACTGCCAAGTCAACATTACCCGCAGCTGAGCATGACATTTGAGCACGTGCCCGAGAACCTCATTTCCAAGATTCATACCCGGTTTCCAGCAGGCCGGTGTCCTTTCCTTTGTGCCCTGGGAGGGAAGAGCGGCGGCAGCAGCAGCAGGCTCGGGCTCGGGCTGCCGCTGTCCCCCCGCTCCGGTCCTGCACGTCTGCGCGATCCCTCTGTCCCGCCCAGGGCCACGCGGACACGCACTCCCTGCGCAGAAGGTCCCCTCCAGTTTCCTCATGCGAGCGAAAGGCGGTTTGTTTCTCTTTTCCTCGTGCCTCCGTAGCGCTTAATATCTCCGGGACGTGGCCCTTGAGCCGTGTGATCGTGTACTTAAGAATACAGACACGGTCTAACGAATGAACTTATCCGAGTGAACTTGCCGGTGGTGCAAAGTCCTAGAGCAGAGGACCGTCTCTTTCTTATCCCGGTGTCCACAGCGCCCAGCATTCGGCTTGGCACTGAGTCCCGAAAGTATCAAAATAGAAATGACTAGAGTAGTGCGCGGAATGGTGTAGAAAACGGGAGCACGGAAAGGCAGGCGGCCTCGGAGGGCAAGGAGTGCGCGCCCCCGCCGCCCGGGGGCAGTGTGGAGCTCCACCACCCGGTTCCCTTTGGACCGCGCTTCTCCCCAGCTGGAGCTCGCGGCAGACACCCGGGACGCGGGGCCGGCTGGCCGCATCTCCCAGCATCACCCGAGACCCGAAGGCGGGGGCCTCGGGCGAGTTCCTCGGGGCCGAGGCAGGTGCAGCCGTCCCACCCTCGGCCTCCTCCTCCTGACTCACGGGGGCCGCACCATGCCTCCCGGCGTGGAGGCTCTGGACCTTCCGGCGTGGAACGGAGCCTCAGACGCGTCCTGGGGTCCCCGCGGCAGGTCAGTACCCCCGAGGCGCCCGGCTCTCCAGCATCCCACGGTCCCTCCCCGGGGACGCCACCGCCGCCCCCTCCCCGGGCTGCGTTCCTCCCGGGGTCTTCTGGCGGCCGCATCTCCGCTCCACCTCTCACCGCCCCCGCCGGCCTCCGCTTCGCTGCCTCCCGCCCTCGGGGCTCCGAGAGGCCTGCCGGGTTCCACGTGGGAAGAGTGCCCCAGGGCCCGAGTTGAGAAGCTCTCAGCCAGCTGCCCGGTCTGCCCAGCCCCGGCGGGAGGCGAAGAGGTGGAGGAGGTGGCTCGGGGGCGGGGCGGGAACGCCTGAGCCACGCGCCCCTGGGCTACCGGCGCGCACTTGAGCCCTGTGGTCCTGCCGCCGGCGGCCGCCGTCCTCACCCCCGGGCTCGGGTCTGCGCGCGCCGGCGGCTACAGGAAGGGTAAGAGATGGGAGCCCGCCTGGAAGGTCTCCGAAGTTGGGGCGGGCGTGCCCGGGAAGGCCGAGATGCGTGTGCACTGAGCGGGTTTTCCTGCTCAGAACCCCGAACGAAAGCTGTGGAAAGTTTGGAAGGCGGAGGCACTGGCCCCGCAGCCTTATCTGTTTCCCTGGGCCGGGAAGCCCGAGACAGGATCAGGTGTTTTCAGGCTAACGATCAGGTGAGGCGCCCGAGCTGTGTCTTTCAGGATGTCAGATTCTGGAGGAACTCTCCTCAAGTGGATGCCTTTACTGTTCTAAACTAGAGCTTACTTGGGGCCTTAGGAGTGCTTACATTCACTGCTTGCAGTTGGTTAAATAAGGCTGGGCTTTGCTTTCCGGAACAAACAGGCCTTTTCCTCAGGTGGGAGGGTTATAGTGCGGCTAACCCCCATTCCTCTGCTTTTATGAAAAGGCGTACAGTTCAGCTGGGTGATGCTGCCAAGGGGCCCCACCTCCGTGGTCAGAGCTGCAAACACCCAACTGCGCAGCTGAGCCCGGGGGTGGGGAGGTGGAGGAGGTTGAGTACAAACAGGCCTTGGCTCCCCCACCTCTGCTCACAAAACAAATATAGAGGTGGGCCGTTAAATTTTCTAAAATAGTGTAGAGACTCTCCTGCTTTTCCTGCGTGGCGTTCTCAGTGTTATACACAGACTTAATGCTAGCAAGGAAAGCCAGAATTTAGTAGAAGCACTCACTTGATCTCTGCTGGCTGTCCTGATAAGTAGTTCCAAGCCAGGGTGGCATACACTTTACTAGTGTGTGTGGAACCCATGTTCCACTCTTCGCCTGACT